AGATAGATAGATAGATAGATAGATAGACAGACAGATAGATACGCAAATTAAACTTCAAGCCATTAGACGCGGGAAGGTTTCGAGCATCCTGAGCTCGATGTTGTTTAATATAGCGCATGTTAATGATACAGGCGTCCGGAACGACGCACTGCGCATGAGGAGCGGAAGACTGTCCCGCGCGGCGAAGGCCTCGCTCCGGACTCACCCGTCGTCCTGCAGGTTTTTACTGGCGTTTATTTTGGAGCCCTCTGGGAACTCGTCGGTGCTGAAGTCGCCTTGCTCTTCGGCCTGCATTCTGGAAGACGTGTAGTTTGCTCGTACGGTGTACCGGATTATAGGACGGCGTGTTCTGCAGCTCAAAGCCTCCGAGACGAACACAGTGCCGCGCTGATGAAGATGGCGGACGGAGATCAGTGACGGGAGCCGCAGCGGGCGGAAGCGAGTGGGCGGGGCTTCTGCTGCCTCTTCTTCTTTTGGTTTGATGGCGGGTTGCGAACCAACTTCACAGGTGCATACCGCCACCTACTGTGATGGAGTGTGAAGAGAATGTACTGTAAAAAATGACCGTGAATTTAACAGTAAAATACTGTAAAAATGCTACAGTAAAACCTGTTAAATGGTTAACGGTAAATTCCCCTACTATTGACTATATACGGTGAAAAACTGTATTGGACATGTAATTTTTCGGTAGTATACCGTTTTTGGAAGTGAAAAAGACATAACAGTATATTGACATTCCCAGAATTCCCTGCGTTACATTTAAAATTTGATGTTTTTTTGTTTCGTCTTAGTTTTTTCTTATCAGTTTTGTATGTTAGGCTTGTGTGTTACACCTAATGTTGTTAAATGAATGTTTATTGCATTATTTCAGCTTCATGTGTGTTACCGTGATGGTGTTTAGTGTCTGTGTGAATGACACACTGTGCATCTTCTATATATGTTATTATTTAAAAGCTGCTTGTGATGGGCTTTGGTTCATCATGTGACTTTCTCATCACCTCCTGCATTTGGTGGTTATCAGTGTATTACAAAGCTACAAAACAGATTTCAGTACTTCAATAGGTTGGTATATTAACATTATATCAGTTAATGAAATGACGGTATTTAACTGTAAATTTAAGTTAAAACCGTAAAACATTGCTACCGTATTTTTTACGGTAAAATTCCGGCAACCACAGCTGCCGGTTTTTTACCGTAAATTTTACGTAATTTCTTTTTACAGTGTACCGTTTCTCACCTAAATCTTATATTCTGTTCATTATTCCACAATTCTTAATAAATCTCATGATTGCACTCATTTCTTCTCCTGCATTTGGACCATCATTCAGAATACTACTTAATGAAAATCATTTAATTCCTAAGGATTGTAATTCATCTTTAAGAGGATCCCTTTCTCTTTCATATGCTGTACATATCATCACAACGTGTTCCACTGATTCCTCTGTTAAACAAACATCACATAGACCAGTATTATGCTTCCCTAATGTACAGTGCTTGGTTAAGATTTGAATGTCCTGTTTGTATATGTGTTAAAATGACTTCTACTTATGTTATGAATTATTTTTCTTCTCTTTATACTCTTTTGTACTTTGTGATAATGCCTATTGTTTGACATGAGTCCCAGTATGTCTGCCATACAATATTGCATGCATTTAATATGAACTGTTTCCCTTCTGTTCTGCTGAGTGCAATATTTATACTTGAATCATCCATATTTAAGGATTCTTTAGCCATTTCATCTATACGTGTTTAATACTGCAAAACACGCTCGATGGTACAGTCACTGCCCTTGCCCTCCAGAATAAAAGAGAACATCCCAATCCAGTGAAGGGGTTTGTGGAAACTGTGGTTCCTAATTATTGTGATCCAACATTTGCCTCGCATTTCAGGTGAAGGATAATCCACTTCTTACCTCCGAGACTGTGTTAGGATCTATATGACCTTATTATTTTTATTGTGAGTATTAGGCTTATCATTATTGCTGATCGCTGTTGTTGTGCTATGATATTGTAATATTTACCATTATATAATCAGAGGGGTATAGAAAAGTTTATGAAAGTGTCACTCCATAATACAATAGCAAAATATATAAATATGTATAGTATTTTTATGTTACATTAATCAGTGTCTAGCACACCTTCCGAAGGAAAGGATATGGACCAGAAGACATTGCAATTACTAAATGATATTTAGACAGACTTAAAGAAGTTCCAGATCTATACTTGTGCCCTTATTATTTCAGTTATTTTGCCTTTAATGTAAATAAACATGTGCAGACGATATACTTGCGCTTGTGAATTTATTTTGATGTTAATTACATTGTGTGAGCTGTCTCTTTATTACCGCGTGGTTTATATATGTTTATATATTTGTATGTTTTTTAGCTAAAAGTACGTAGCGATTTGTACGTTTTAAACGTTGAAATACGTCTAAATTGTACGTTTTAGTATTAATAAAAACGTACAAAAGTGTGTTTTTAAATGTTACGTATAATACCCACGTATAACATGAGACCAGGCTGAATAAACAGGGTATGTGCAACTTTGGTGTATAAGACAGCAGGCTAACCGGGTAATATAAGACAATTACTGTTTCCTTTTTTACTGATATTTTAATAAATCACCACAGCAAAACTGTTCAAGCTATCCAAAATCCATCTGCAATATAAGTTCCTCAATGTTTTGTCATCATGTAGGAAAAGTTTGGTGTGTATAGTATATTTCTCCTCTGAGGAGTATGCATTAATTCACAGCCATATTTTTCCAAAAATCCACATTCAAATCAAAATAGCCGACTTCCTGTTGGTCGTAGCTAATTACTGTAAATTAGAAAGTTGTCCGGCTTGATGAGAACAATATATGTACCACGTTTGGTGGCTGTAGCTAAAACTAACCCCCCAAGTTTTGTCAAAAGGTGGCGCTATAGAGTGCCTCATCCAAGCCCTTTTATGAGCTTTTTCCAGTGTCTATATATCATTAATACTTATATGTGTGTTGAGTTTCATGCAATTCTAAGAATGTTATCTACCCCAAAATCACCAGAAAAGAATATTCAAGTTTGACACGTTGCCAAGGCAACAAATTTTTAGATATCAATATCCCCTCAACAGTTTTACATCGCCCGTGTTTTGACATTAAACTGATTAAGTTTGAAGCATATCGGGTAAAAATAAGATGCTGAATTAAAAGCATTTTGAAAATGACACACTTCCTGCCGTCAGTTGGTGGCGCTATATCTTTGACTCCTAATAGTCACATGTATGCGATCGGCATCATACAACGAACAAACCCCAGAAGTTTGATCAAAATCAGACAATGCATGTGTATGTTATTAGACACTTCCTGTTTCTCATTTCTCGCCATAAATTCATCACCTTGCCATGAACAAACCGTTCGAGATATCAAAAATCTCTTCGCAATTTAGCATCCCCCATGTCTTGAGATCATGTTCACCGAGTTTGGTGGCAATCGGTTGGAAACCCTCAGAGGAGTATATCAAATTCCAGAGCATGCACTTTTCACAAAACCTTAAATAGCCAACTTCCTGTTGGGCAGAGCACTGACGGTCAGCATGAAAGTTGTTCGGCCTGATGAGACGTGTATGAATTTTGGTGAGTGTAGATCAAACGATGCGTGCTACAGAGCTCCTGAAAAGTCGCCTTTTTAAAGGGGTCATATGATGCGATTTCATTTTTTCCTTTCTCTTTGGAGTGTTACAAGCTCTTGGTGCATAAAGAAGATCTGTAA